TTTTAAAATTTATGTGTTAAGAAATGTGAAGATTTGAGAACTGAAAACTATTTGGTGTTTGCAGCAGGTAATTTCTGACAATATCCTTTGTTTTTTTCTGGCTTTTTTTTTTTTTTGGTTGTTTGTTTGTTTGTTTGTTTTCTACACCCTCCTCTCCATCTCCGTCTCTCCCCGCCTCTTCCCCAAAGAAAAAAAACCCTATTTTGCTTTTATTTCGCCCCTTTGGGTGACATTACGTGCAAATGTTTGGCCCTCTCTGTCCACTTCCACGAATATTTTGTCCAAATAAGTAACTTGAGGTCTATCTTGAATCCGGGAATGGCAGCGCCAAAAGGAGGGCTGGGGGAGATTTAATTTTCCAAACGACGCGGCCGCCCCGGTTTTGTAATTCATGCCAGACCAGGCCCTTCAAAAGCCGACTTCCTACTTCGCACCAGCACCAGCCCCATTACCGCTAATGACGGGCTTCCTCCCCGGGGGAGAGGCCGACAGCCCCTTTGAACTGTTGCGTAATCCCATTGTAGTTCTCGAGCACGGCTACCTTGTAGTGTGACGCATCCCCAAAGTGTTATAATAATTCCCTCCATTATGCTCTTTTGTGTGCTGTCCCCCGGGGACAGTCAGGCCTCTGCTGTTACAGCCCCACTTTGTTATGTAACAGGGTAGGGATCCTTTTCTAAGACACCTCGTAAAAGCGTGTGTGCACGTGTGTGTGCGAGCGCGCGCGTGTGTGTGTGTGTGTGTGTGTGTGTGTGTGTGTACCTGTGTGGAGTTTCTCCTTCCGTCCCTTTTCTCCTCCTCAGCTCTCTCTTCCTCTGCCGCTGCCTGCTCCTCGCCCCTTTCATCTTTGGGGCATAGTAGGTGCTCCCTAAATACTTTCAAGAAAATAAGTCCTTGCCCGGCTGGTGTGGCTCAATGGTTGAGCGTCAACCTAGGAACCAGGAGATCACGGTGCGATTCCCGGTCAGGGCACATGCCCGGGTAGCGGGCTCCATCCCCTCTAGGGGGTGTGCAGGAGGCAACCGGTCCATAATTCTCTCTCATCATTGATGTTTCCCTCTCCCTTCCTCTCTGAAATCAATAAAAAAAAATTTTTTTTAAATAAGTGGTCAGGGCACATGCCCGGGTAGCGGGCTCCATCCCCTCTAGGGGGTGTGCAGGAGGCAACCGGTCCATAATTCTCTCTCATCATTGATGTTTCCCTCTCCCTTCCTCTCTGAAATCAATACAAAAAAAAATTTTTTTAATAAGTCTTTTTTTTCAATCATAATTTTCTATTCCCAAATTTATATTCGGGCGAGGGCAGGGGGCAGCTCCTTAATCTTAGCAATAACAATAATTACAATGGGTAGCCCTTATTACTATTTATTATTTCGCCTGCTTGTCGCTCAGCGCTAGTACCAGGCGAGATGAGTCAGCGTCTGTGCCTGTGTGGATGGGGCAGTGGGATAACTATACGCCTCCCTTCATCGCTTCACAGCTTTTTATTTGTGTGAATCCTCCCCCGAGGATATTTTTCCATTGGTTTTTTTAGGGAAAGTGGAAGGGAGGGGGAGAGGCAGAGAGAAACATCCATGTGAGAGAGACACATCGATGGGCTGCCTCCTGCATGCACCCCGACCAGCGTCCCCGGCTGGGGATCGAGCCTGCAGCCGAGGTACGTGCCCTTGACCAGAATCGAACCCGCGACTCTTCAGTCCACGGGCTGACGCGCTATCCACTGGGCCAAACCGGCCAGGGCTGCACCTCTTTGTTTACAGGGAGTGTTCTCACCTCACTTCCTGACTCAAGCCATGCGGTGATTTCCGGAATCTGCTTTCCATCCGTCGGCCCGGGACCGGCTCCTGGCAATGGGTTACCGATCGCTCGCACCTTTACGGTCCGCACTGTCCTCTGAGCACCGGGCAGACAGGGCCTTCTGGCTCCTCGTCTCCTGGGCGGGAGAAGCAAACATGATTTTTTACGAGTCTCTAAATAGGACTGTTTGAGCGTCTGTGTACTTAAAGGCGTGGATAGCTCTTCCTGTGTGCCCGGTGCTATTCTGAGCCCTTGACCCGGGTGAACTCGTGTCAGGCCTGTGGTGCAGGTGGTGGTGTCCTCAGTGCCCAGGTGAGGACGCCGGGGGACTGGCCCGAGACCCGGGCAGTCGAGCCCGGGGAGTCTGGCTGGAGACCTGGTGCTTGGGGCACGATGGGGGGTGTGCCCCTGTCATGAATGGTCCTTCTGCAGGCAAGGGGTCCCACAGGGTCAGGAAGGCTTTCAAAACTCAGATTCTGCCCCTGGCCAGCAGTTGAGCGTCGTCCCTGCACCAAACGGTTGCTGGTTTGATTCCCAGTCAGGGCGATCCGGCTTGATCCTCCAGTAGGGGGCGTGCGGGGGGAAGCCGGTCACTGCTGTGCTCTCACATCAATGTTTTTCTCTCTCTCTCTCTCTCTTTCTCTCTCCTTTCCTCTCTAAAAAGTCAATGAAAATGTACTTCTTTAAAAAGTTCCATCCCCCCAAATATTAAACGGTCGCCACAGCACACTGCTTATGGAGAAGAAAGATCAGGAGCAAACGGAGTAGAACTCTCCCATAGCTACGCACGGAAAGGTGGTTTTTCCCTCGGAAAGGCCCGTGTGGAGCTGACATCCGAGGGTGGCGGTGCTTCCGTAGCTGTGTCCCTTGATTGAAAGTTGCCAGCTTGCCCGGCCGGCGTGGCTCGGTGGTGAAGCATTGATCTATGAACCAGGAGGTCACGGTTCGATTCCCGGTCAGGGCACGTGCCCGGGTTGTGGGCTCGATCCCCAGGAGGGGGCGTGCAGGAGGCAGCCGATCCATGATTCTCTCTCATCATCAATGTTTCTCTCTCTCTCTCCCCTCTCCCTTCCTCTCTGAAGTGTGTGTGTGTGTGTAGATTCCTGTGCTGGTGTACACGTGCGGGTCAAGTGTCGTAAGCACTTATTGAAAAATGGCAGCGATTGCTTATCCTCTTGCTAATGGCAGCCTGTGCATGGCGATGCCGAGCCACCCAGCACGGCTTAGGAAACGATTTGCTCTCGACATGGGCGTGTCTTGCCATGAGCTGGCCGGTTTCTACGTTAGGGACCCGCCTACAGAGCACTCATTCACTCATTCACTCATTCACTCATCCATTCCGCCGGCGTTTGTGGAGGGTTGTGTCACGCGCGGGGCTGACGCGGGCAGCCAGAGCGGTCCTGCCCTCGTGGGGCATGGGGTGTAGGTCGTTCACAACCTTGTTACGCGCCAGCGGAGCTCTGAGCGCGTCTGCTGGGAACCTCACTCCTCGCCCCTGAGGATGGGAGGCGGGGAAGGCGGAAGTTTGCTGGAAGACACGTGGGTGTGTGTGTCTGTGTGTCTGTGTGTCTCGTAGCCACGCAGATCCAGTGCAAACCTCTGTAGATGCTCCTGCTCCTAATTTATAAATCTTTCGAGGGAATCTGTAACTTCTGTGATTTGTTTTTTTAAATATGTTTTTATTGATTTCAGAGAGGGGAGAGGGAGAGAGATAGAAACAGCAATGATGAGAGAGAATCATGGATCAGCTGCCTCTTGCACGCCCCACATTGGGGATGGAGCCCGCAACCCGGGCATGTGCCCTGACCAGGAATCAAACCGTGACCCTCCTGGTTCATAGATCGATCGATGCTCGACCACTGAGCCACACCAGCCGGCCTGCAGTGATTCTTTTAGAAGCCCTTACACGTATGTATTCAGTAACTCTTGGAAAACACGTGTTTCCGTGGGCCTTCCGGAACAGAGGTCTGAATTTTAAGGAGCCTTTTGTCCTCGCAAAGAATTAATTTCCAACAGTGGTGATCCCTAGACAGACGAGTACCATTCAAGCACAGGTTCAAGTGCTAAGCAGCGCGATGGTCCTCCCCGTGTGGCCCGGGGCCGCTGGGCTTCCCCGAGACCCTCTCAGGGCATCTGAGGTCAGAGTGATGCTCATCCTCACCCTGAGGCGTGCGCTGCCCCGCTCACATTCCTTCTCCCCTGCGTGCGAGGGGACGTTTCCAGAGACCAGATGACGTGACTGCATCCCGGCGGGTGGGATGCGGCAGCGTCGGTGAGGATCCAGCCAGGCGCTCCCGAGTGCTGATAAGACGTGAACGCGTGCCATTCTCCTCGCTTCATTCTGCTCATTTCACAGCCGTGTGGTTTCTGTTCGCACGTCATGGGGTTTCTTGCTGTTGCTTCTAAGTGAATGAAGAAGTCTTTCTAAACGTTGTCTCTCAGCTTCAGACAGGGATGTTAATCGCTCGATACAGCCCTACCCTAAACACAGAAGTTCTTTAGGGAGCTTGAGCATCTGGGAACATAGGAAGCGGCTTTGGGATGGAGAAGTTTGAGAACCACTGAACCAGGGCTTCCGGCTCGACTTGGAGCGTGTTACCTAATCCCTCAGACAGTCGGAGTCTGTGAAATGGGCTGATGATCAAAGTCCTTCCCTCGTAAAAGGATTAAAGGAGTTCCTGTGTGTCAGGGGTTTGTAAGAATCCATGGCTCAGCGTAAGCATTCTACGTGTGCGAGCTCTCATCAGCGTTACCATTGACTATGAAAGCAGGTGAAGAGAACATATTTCCAATACAAAAGATGTTTATCTAGACTATAAAAAGCCCTTGCTGGTGTGGCTCAGTGGATAGAGCGCCGGCCTGCGGACTGAAGGGTCCCAAGTTCGATTCCAGTCAAGGGCACATGCCCGGGTTGTGGGCTCGATCCCCAGTAGGGGGCGTGCAGGAGGCAGCCGATCCATGATTCTCTTTCATCATTGCTGTTTCTCTCTCTCTCACTCTCTCTCATTGATGTTTCTCTCTCTCTCACTCTCCCTCGCTCTTCTTCTCTGAAATCAATAAAAATATCTGTTTAAAAAATAAAATGAAAACATATTTTTTAAAAAAAACAACAAATCAAAACACACAGTGATTTTCAGAACCTAAAAAGGCCGCCTTAAATATTCTGCTTTGTAAACGTGTTTTCTTCTTCTCTGTCTTTCTAGGGCAGCCCCGAAACTTGCAGGACCTGTGCCGAATTAAAATCCGACAGTGTATAGGCCTTCAGAACCTAAAGCTACTTGACGACCTCCCCATTGCCAAGGTCATAAAAGACTACTTAAAACACAAATTCGACGGCATCTGACAGACACAGGCCCCCGGGCGCGGGGCCGGGCGCTCTGTCCCAGATACCCCTAAGGCCGTTCGCCTTGCACAAAGTATATCCTATGCAATTTCTGATCCGCCGAGAAGTCAGAAAGCAGGTGTACACTTTTAGATGTTTATTCTTTCTGTTTGTTTTTTTTTATTTTTTCGTTCGTTTGTTCAGTTGGTTTTCGTTGTACGGGAGGGGTTGTTGGTTTTTTATATATATATCTATCTATAAACACACCACATGCTTGACGGTCTTAATTTGGTTTCTTGGTCCAGGTTTGAGAGGTCCAAGCTTTCTCTCCGATGCCGCACTCACAAAAGCTTGTGGGGTGGTTGTTGTTCTCCCCCACCCCCCACCCCACCCCCAAACGTCGCGAGCAGGCCTGGAGCGGAGAATCCGCCCTTTGCCAATGTTATGGGTTCATGGGCTTGTGCATGTTACCAACCAGCAGAGCACATGTTAACGTTGGGAGTCCTCGTCCCACCCAGGAGGGGGTTCTGGGTTCTACTGGAAAATGCCCCCCCCCCCGAAATTTTGTAAGTACTCCTGTCCCCTCGTTTGTTTTTTTAATGAATACAGATCAGCTGTTTGAAACGGTTCCTTTCCTAGTTCCTGTCGCTTTCGGTGGTTTGGGGGGGTCGGGGGAACCTAACCCCAGTACCTCTCTCTTCCCAGTCAGCGTGCTCTTTTAACTTATTTTTAACCATCGCAGGACGCTACCCGGAGACACGGGGCCTCCGCGAGTCTCTGTGGGAATAGTGCTTTAAAAAAAAAAAAAACTAACGGGAGAGAAAATCACTTTCTAAAGCCACTGTCTTCTGTTTTTCTAAAGCGCCTCCAGTGCAATACAGTACTTTCTCGGTTGTCTTTTGGCCATTATCTCGCTTGATGTTCCCCATGCCACGGCCGCCAGCTCTGACGTGCCCGTGAGCGCAGGCACTGCCACTTTCATGTGAATTGCGGGGCCGGAGTCCCCAGGTCGCAATTTCCATTCAGGGCTTCGTCCTTTCCTCCAAGCAGATGGAGCCGAAAATTTCATCTCCGGGTGGGAGAGCATTTTTCCCTAAAAAATAGCCCCAAACGCCATTAAACCCTGTGGCTCTCATGGTGGAATAGTTCGAGGTGGTTCCATGGCGTTTTTTGTGTTGTGTTGGGGTTTTTTTTTTCCTCCCCAGTTAAGCCAAGTCTCGAAAGGGTGACATTTCTACTCGGTGCGCATTGGTGAATCTGGTGAACCTCCTGATGTGCCAATGAGCCCTTACCCCCGGGGACCTTATTTCCTGGGTTGATAGGGCTGGCAGCGTGAAAACGCAGACGTGATAGCGCGTCCGTAACCACGCAGAAGCTTCCAGAAGCCGCAGGGACCTGGGATGAGGCCCTTGGAAGTGGGTGCCGCGCCTGACGGGTCATTTCGTTCCCAAAAAGCCTTTTCCAACTTCCCAGGATGGTTCCTGGCGCTTTGGGCAACGCCCAGTAATGCATCGTAACGCGTTTCTCATCAGAGGTTGGCGCGGGGAAGGGCTGGCCTCGTCCGAGTCTCTGCTGCTACGTCCCCAAATGGGGAGCCGTTTCCACAGCGAATTGGGGGCCTCCTGTGGCTTGTCCTTCGGGAAAAGGGTGCCTCGGGGGTCGCCGATGGGGGAGCCGTGAGCGTGTGGCCGGTTTTGTCACCACCCCAGGCCTATAACTGCAGCCAGGTGGCCCGAAAGGGGTGGTCTGTCCCTTTCCCCGTAAAAACCGCTCCGAAAAGTTCACTTCCCTCGGGACATCGGGAGCCGAGCCGTGTGGTGGTTCTTTAACACCGAGGCCAGAGCCAAGAGCCACCCGCACCGGGGACATGGCACAGCCAGGAATGAACGGAACCTTATTTCTCCCTGTAAAATCCAGGCCCCCGGAGGCGAGGACGGGGGAGGGCGCGCAGACCCTCTGTCCGCCTACGTGGGTGTTAATTCAATCAGTTTAGTCTAAAATGATTCTGTTTCCCCAACCGTAAAATCCAGGCCCCCGGAGGCGAGGACGGGGGAGGGTGCGCAGGCCCCTGTCAGCCTACGTGGGTGTTAATTCAATCAGTTGAGTCTAAAATGATTCTGTTTCCCCAACTAGCCCAAGGTTTCCCCAAAGCAAGCCACTGAGTCCCCGTCAGGGGGTCCCAGGTAGAAAGACCGAGGCGAGTTCTTCGTTCCGTGTTGCTGCTTCGACTTCAGAAAAAAAAATTATGCGAGCTCCTTGCGCGATTGAAATTTCTATGTAATGAAGACGTGTCTAAGCCCCACTATTTATTGTTTGAGGTTTGATTTCTCCGGACGCTTAAAAAGAATGTTTTTTGGGGGGGTAACAGACTCCCAATCACATCAGCGTATTTCACAGTAACTAAAACTGTGTGGAGGTCAGGAATCCGTGGGATGGAGGGGTGAATGTGCAGGTCCGCATTGGAATCGGATTGTTCTAGAAGCGTCCTGGGGTCCCATGGTGAGGAGAGAGAAACGAGTCATTTCAGAAAGAAAGAAAAATAAATCAACCGATCGCTTTTCCCAGAATCCTGACTGAGATGTTCAGAATAGCGTCAAATTTGTCAGCGATCCTTCACGTTTCTTTTGAAATTTATGATTGAAGCCTCCGCGGAAACCTTTATAGAAAAACCTATCTGGCGAGTACACCAAAGAAACCAGCTCCTGAAAGATTATGATCAGCCATGAACTGCCAACCTCATCTGTTTTTGAAACCGAGTTTCCCCCCTCCCCCACCCCCCCATGTAAATATTTGTGTTCATAAATGTACAGCAGAGCGAGAGTGGTTTTTTTGTTTTGTTTTTTATTTTAGATTATTTAATGCCCATCTTTCTAAACTATTGATGACAGAAATAATCCGCGCTTGTGCGTCGGGACGACGTCACCGTTTTGTTCTTTGAGTCGTGTTATCAGTCACGCTCGGGACGTGTTTCCGAGAGAGAATCCAGCGGCCTGTGTCCTGGGGGAGCGAGCGCCGTGTGTTAGGCTAAGCGACGAGAACGCCTGTGACCCCGGGGGATTCTAACCTCCCTGCCCAAGTGCTCAGCAGCCCAGGATATGACCGGGATGAGGCCCTCTGCCCCCAAATTGAGCTTTCATGTAACTCCTAGTGTGTTCTCTCATACTGTATTTTGTTCTTCCTTTGTAATGTAAGTTTGTTTTGCTTTGGGTCAGTTTGAATTAAAAAAAAAAAAAACTTCAATCTGGTTTTAACACTTCCTGGAATTGTGTGTTATTTCTAGTCGGCCTTAACGGTTTAACATTTCCCAGCTCTTTTGTAAAAGGAAACAAAAATCTAACTTTCCTTCATCAATATTTTTTCTTTAAATGTTTTTAATTGATTTCAGAGGGAGAAAGAGAGAGAAACATCAGTGATGAGAGAGAATCATGGATTGGCTGCCTCCTGCGCGCCCCCTACTGGGGATGGGGCCTGCCACCCAGGCATGTGCCCTTGACCGGAATCGAACCAGGGACCCTTCAGTCTGTAGGCCAACGCTCTATCCTCTGAGCCAAATCAGCTAGGACTTATGTTTATTTTTTTAAGATTTTTTAATTGGCCCAGCCAGTGTGGCTCAGTGGTTGAGTGTCTGCCTATGAACCAGGAGATCACAGTTCAATTCCAGGTCAGGGCACATGCCCGGGTTGCGGGCTCCATCCCTAGTGTGGGGCATGCAAGAGGCAGCCGATCCATGATTCTCATCGCTGCTGTTTCTCTCTCTCCCTCTCCTTTCCTCTCTGAAATCAATAAAAATATTTTTTAAAAAGAAAAAGATTTTTTAATTGATTTTTAGAGAGAGAGGGAGAGAGAGAAACATCCACGTGAAAGTGAAACATCAATCAGCTGCCTCCTGCACACCCACTACCAGGGATCAGTCCCGCAACCCCGGGCATGTGTCCTGACCGGGAATCGAACCAGCAACCCTTCCGCCCACTGAGCCACACCGGCTAGGGACCAGATCATTGGGAATGGTGTCAGAATGTGAAACAGAAAATAGAACCATTTTAGATCCGATGAGGCGGTTCTTACCACCACCACCACCGCCCTTTTTTATTTTATTTTTTTATTGCATTCTGCAAATACCAGCCAACACACGCCTATCGCATTCTTGAACGTGTTGCTCCAAACCCGAGCCTTTTGGGGGCCGGGCTCCCCTCTGCCTCGTGTCTGCCACACTTTGGGGACAGACGTTGGACCCCAGCCTTTCTAAGCCCAGAACAGTGATGCAGCGAGAACAACGAATCTGAGAGTGTTTCTCAGGCTGCAGGAGACAAAAGTAAAACAAAAAAAAAACAAAAAACACTTGTGTTTCACGCTTCCTCTGGGTAACATCAGCCTGGCTCACTCAGGAGAGCCCTGGGGCTGACGTGAGTGATGGCGTGCGGAGGACAAGGGAGGACGGGAGTTAGCACTTGACGGAGCCGTTGGATGCTTTGCAACTGCAATCTGCTTGCAGGCTCGTCCAGGGCTTGGCCCGCGCGGAGGCCAGGAACGGGCCATCTGAAACCCGGCCTCCTGAGCCGTGGGGGAGCTCAGCTGTGAGAAATCGCTGTGTTGCTTGGAACCCCGGAGGTGGTTGCTTTCCAACATGATGTAAGTGGGGTCCTGTTTTTGCAGCTGAAAGGCGGTTTGCAAAAAAGGGCTGAGTCGCTCTTGATAAAACAGATTATCTCCTTCATTAAAAAAAAAACAACACAAAAAAGACATTTCCGCATCTCACGGAGTTGGGCTCCTGAGACGAAAGGAAATGCATTTGTATCCTCTGCCTGTATTTATTTTTTTATCTTTTTTTTTTCCCCAGAGAGGAAGGGAGAGAGAGAGAAACATCAATGATGAGAGGGAATCATCAATCAGCTGCCTCCTGCACGCCCCACACTGGGGATGGAGTCTGCAAGCTGGGCATGTACCCTGACTGGGAATTAAACCGTGACTGCTTCATAGGTTGACACTCAACCACCGAGCCACACCAGCTGGGCAATAACCTGTGGGCTCTTAACACAGATTTTTTGAGAAAATATATTTGTATTGATTTCAGAGAGAAAGGGAGAGGGGGAGAGAGAGAGAGAGAGAGAGAGAGAGAGAAACAGAAACATCCATGATGAGAGAGAATCATGGATCGGCTGCCTCCTGCACGCCCCACACTGGGAATTGAGCCCGCAACTCGGGCCTGTGCCCTGACAGGGAATCGAACCCAGGACCTTCTGTCCACAACGCAGATATTGATGGTGAGAGTTTAGAGTACCTTTAAGTA